ATGCACAAATTGATACATGTGTTTCAGCATCATTTATCTTTAAACAGAATAAGTTAGCCCACAAATCCAAATATTTGCTAACCCAGATAGCGTACTTAGGTCATTTTATAAAATGTTACTTTCATTAACTTATTATCATCTTTCCTGTCTATACTTTTTTCATGCAATGGTCAAGCTGGAAATGTACACCGCATTTTTTCCTCTTACAAGTCTCAACATGTCGTACATTAGCATGCTGAAGTTCGCTTTGTCTGTTGGTTTAGTTATGGGGGAATTCATTTCATAAAGGACAGATGGTAGAAAGATTCCCATGTTTTCGACTTGGAGTAATAGAGTTCTTTGTGTGTGGGTTAATAAATACTGTACTTTGACACCCTTGACAGATGAAATAAAGTTAAAAATGTATTCCAAAAACATCTGTCTTTCTGTAAGTGTAACCCGTATATTGCAAACCGTTCATCTAATTGCTGTCAAACTTGACATGTGTTAATTGTTCACGGCCCACGAAGAGCAGTGTTGAGTTTGTTGTGATTTAAACACGCGATAAGTTCAATATGAATAAAAATGTATCAAACCGTCAAACAGCACTATCAGTCATTGTGTGCAGGGCACAATTCAAGCCACACATGTCAACACTAACACAGCAAATGCATTTGACTATAACATCTTCACTAAAGATAAACCAGGTAGGATGAACACAAAGTTTTCTAACTTCACTCTGCAATATAGACTGTTTATAAAAAGCTCTGCACGCAATGTCCAGCACACCGAAGTGACTATATTGTAGAACAGTTTGAGGAGGACTCACTAATGACAAGGAATAATTGTGTCCAAACTGGCAGGTTTAGAAGAGGCACTGTACTAATTATTACTTTTGATGTTACTGCAAGTGTCGTCTTTAAGCCTGTTGATGATGCTTCTGTTGCTCTTTTCTCAAAGTGGTAAAAAAAATTAGCTACGCTGAAGCTGTTCAATGTTTTATGAGAGCACAATGCATCTGTTATTTATAGTGACATATTAAGGTGTATGTTTAGAAGTGCTAGTTTTGGGGACCTGGGGGCTTTTTCCCAGCAGCAGCCTGTTTCCCACTCGTACAGTTTTATTCATTCATATTCATCGATTTTGCAACACAGTCTGCTACTGTCGGACGCTGAGCAGCTGGAGCAGCTGGAGGTGAGGTGAACCCATTTGGCGCCTCATTCATTAATGCACTTCATTATAGTTCACAGGTCTTCTTTCTACCATATGCTTTCAGAGGGATCCCCCCACCACCACCATATCTGCTACATCCATGTTTTATTATCTTTATTTGGTGTATAGCTACATGACTGTGGCAGGAGACACACTCACACACTCACACTCACACACACAGGATTTATAGCCTTTAGAAGCACTGACTCCCCAGCCGCCCCTCCTCTCCCCAGCCTGGTGTCCTTGCCAACAGGAAAAATGGTGCACTGTTGCAGACAGATAGCATCTGATTGTCGGCTGTTGTTAACCCCTCAGATGTGCACAGTCAGATTTCAGGTTCCTCTCTCTGCATAAAAGCGACTTGAGTCGACTAGTGTGACCTATGCACCATAAACCGTTCTGATCACCTGCCTCTGTAATATCTCAAACATGTAGTCTTTCTTTTTTTCTCACCACTCTTTCTCTCACTTTACTCATCTGTTAAATGGAGTCTTGTTGGGAAGTGAGCCAAAGCCGTTTTCGCAGCCACTAGGACTCCAGGAAAAGTGGCGACTATATTTATAGCTGCTGCCTGGTTGTGCTAAAGAAGGTGGAACAGTCGGCAAATGAATATGCACTTTAAAGTGGGATTAAGAACTGAAATGGCTGATGGTGGCCCATGGGGCCTACTTAGCATTTAGTTTACTTAGCATCTAGTTCACAAATCACAAGAAAAAGAAAATACTGTGCTAATTGTTTGGGTTTTTTTGGAAGATGCTATCAACACTTAAGGCTCTGAAGACGTGCGAGCTGAACTTCCAAAGATTAAGCCCAGATGGGGTCACAGATCGGATGACCTATTAGATGTCTAGATTAAACATGGATTAGGATGGCTTTGACATACTGACCAGTAATCTTCTGAGAGAGCACGGTCGAACAGATGGTACGTGATACACACAGTTCAGCAATACTCTTTGCAAAACACAGCTGGAAAGATTTTTTCCTCTGATATGATGATAGCATATCAGTGCAGATTATTGTGTGCATGTGCATGATCCTCAACTGTGTGGCCACACAAAGGTTTATTCAAATAGTCTATGGGATAGAGTGATTAAGGGTGCATATTTTTATATTATTTCATTTAATGTAACATACCGTAAGCACTTGCAGTAAACACACCCATATAAACACATGCACTATGTAAGGGAGGCAGCATTTGGCTCACCTGGTAGAGCTGCCACCCCAGTGAGGCACGGCCTCAACCTGCAGAGGCCCGGGCTCGATTCCAACCTGCAGCCATGTATGCCCTTCAAGCTTACTCTGTCCTATCCATTAAAGGCGAAACACGCAATACAAAAAATACATTTCGAAAAAAATATATGAAAGGATATATTACAGTCCAGTCAGTGAGAGACATATAATGAGTGAGCACACACACACACACACACACACAAAAGGCAATGAGCAAAGACTTAAAAGTTGAGTGTGTATCCAGGGGATTCTCCACCAATAAAAACACACTGATGACTATACACCCCTGCCAACCACCACACACCAGATCCGACATCAGACTAAGAATTTAACAAAGCTTGGAATATTTACTACAATGAATATGACATTCAAAAATAAGGGTTTTCTTATGTTAAAAAATAAAGAATGAAGGAATGGTTGGAATGTAATTTACCAAGTCGTAACAAATCTGTAATATCTGGCAAATTAATTTGGAAACGGCATGAAAAAAACCCATGTGTTATGTGGCTGTGGCTATAAAAGGTGTTGTCTGCTAACCAGAAGGCCGGCGGTTCAATCCCGGCCTTCCACCATTTCCAATGAATGGGTGAATGGCAAAACTGTGCCGTAAATCACTTTGAGTGCAAGAGTACTATAAAAATACAGAATATATATTATATTAGCATTTAATGTTTTGTTTGTAGGGAGAGTATTGAATCACACCACATCAGTAGCAGTCTTATACACGGATTGCACAAGACTGTATTCGTGCCCCCCCCCCTCCCTCTCAGCCCCTCAAATCCCTATCCCCGCTCATGGGGACTGTAGTGATCTCAATCGGCTCACAGACAGATAGCTGCGCTCCTGTCAGCGCCACAGCGCGGGCAGCTGAGGCTCTGTGTGTGGGAGGGACTATAAGAGCTGCTGCTCCACAGCATCGTGTGGGGAGAGAATATAGGCTATTCAACGCATATTCACTGATAAGGCACCTTTAAAGATAAATCCGCCTGCGTTATGCGCTGTCCCCATCTATAGTGACGAAGAGGAGGAGAAGACGAAGGGGATGCTGAAGTAGCGCGGTGAGTTCACGTCTTTCGGTCTCAGGGAGGTTTCTGTTTGGGGATCTGGGAGGGGGGGGGAATAGAAATAGATAGGAGCCGGATTGTGCATGACTGGTCCACCCTCATGCAGCAGCTCACGGCTCCTGCAGGACTGAGAAAGTGTGCAGAGACTGTTCCTACACGTATTTGGGAGAATTGCTTGTATTCACGGCAGATGATTGTTTTCTCGACAGCAGATTAAATGTGGGTATGTTCAGTTTATGCCAACATTTACATCTGATCTAGTTTTCGTCATTTCCAC